TTGCAAATTTTATAATAATGCGCCAATATCTATGAGATGCACTTAAGGTGCATTTACACCAAATTTGAATTTTTGGATCAGAAGCTTATTGAACTGATCAGAAAAAGGAATCTGATGTTGGCTTTTAAGCCAGCCACTCACTGCATGGTACGACGGTCGTTCGACCGTCGTACGATGAATCCAACTCCTCCCTGTGAGCGCTAGTCTACGCGACGCTGATTGTTGATTTTGGTGGCAGTCTGAACAGATCGTTATTAAAAGCGATTCTTCGCGCGCAAGTCGTGGCGCCGTGTTCTCTATAGAATCACATCGTTGACGACTGTCGCTCACAGTGAGTACCCTGCTTAAGAGCATCAGAAACCGTTCAAATTGGTTTTGATTCAATGTAAAAGCAGCTTTATGTTGTTTTAATGTCTGAGCTTTATAACATTTTAAAATTTGATTTACATTGTACTGTTTCTTTAAACTTTTGGCACTAGCGCTTTCATTGCCTTCAATGCTGTAGAGCACGAGCACAAACTTACCTGTCATTTATTATTTCAGAATTCTATTCGTCACAACTTGTCATTACACAAGATGTTTATACGGCAGCCGCCTATGGGTCCTGGCAAGTCAGCTTTTTGGACACTTCAACCAGGCACGGTGGTGCGCCTTCCTTCAAAGCGGAATTTGAACTTTCATAATGAGAATACCGAGCTAAGCACATCGGTTGAGCGAACAAGTCAAGTGTATAATTTACCAAATCGACGGTCAGGAAGCACAAAAACCATTGGTAGGAATTGATTTTAATATTTATGCAGCAAACAGCAGTTGCAGAAGATACCTTTTTATGGTGATCCACTTTGAACATGATATAGTAACACAGTGGTGGATCCAAGAATTTAAAATTGAGGGGGCCTTGAGAGGGCTTTCATAGATAAGTCTAGACCACCTCAGCCCAACTATCGTTGGGGCTGAGGTAAGCAAATAATATGATTATTGCACCTCAGATGGCCGGAAATGGCATTCTCAAACCTAAATTTGATTAATATTTTCATTTTTTGTATAGTTTTGAAAAATGTTGGGGGAAAGGACCAGCTCCCATTCCTTCCTTCCCTCAATCTGCCACTGTAAACACAACAGAGCGATTGTACAGTACAGTACTTTTAATATATGTAATGGAAATAGGGACAAGTTATAATAGCATTGGGGAAGGTGACAATAATATTTTATTAAACTCTGCCTTTTTATTATTATTTTAGGTCATCAAACAAAACGGCCATTTCTTCTCCCACGGCCAACAATAAACCCGGCATTAATGCATATGCCAGTTGTTTGGGATGCCAACACTGGTACATACGCGATGATGCAGACAATTCCAAACAACTCCATACCGATGGCATTCGGGACAAATGCCATGGTTTATAAGCCACAACTTAATCCCTCAGTGGTCAGAATCGCTCCGAAGATGAATTTTAACCAGCAAACAGATGTCCGTGACAGTATGTCAAGCAGCCAAAGATGGCCATCACATGGCATCCTCCAGCCTGGACAATTAGCAGTTGATTCTGGATTTGAAACTGATAACTCTGGTGGATTGAATTTATTTGACTATGCTAACGCCTCTGAAACTAAGTCAAACAATTTATGTCCTGATATACCAGGATCTTTGTTAGGAATTAAAGAAGAGGCAGAAGGTACGCTGACAGTCTCGACACCAGTAAAGTCATCAAGTATGACGCCCTCAAAGGGAATAAGTGCAACGTCTACTCCAGGAAAGCTGTTCTCAGAACTCGACTTTCTTTCTCCAATTCGAGGAGTGACGAACTTAAGGACTCCTAAAACAGGCTTCTCTCCGCTGCAGAAGTATTTGTTGTCGCCTTCTCGCGACACGGCACATCACAAGTCACCGATGCTGGGATCCTTGAGAGAGTTCGGTCTGCCAGGATTCACACCGAAGAAGGATGGTGATATGAATGTTAGTGTGCATAATCAGAGCTTTGGGGAGATCTTTGGCGACATGAACATCAGCCTCGACATGGCAGCAGCCGCCGCAGACATTAGCTGGTCTGCTTTTAATGCATAAATATTTTGAGCATAAAATGATGCAACTTGAAAAGTGATTTTTAGAATCTTAATAGATTGTACTCTAAACTATTGTGGTATTATAAGTCACCTTGATTTTTAAAATTAATGGGCTCCAAAACTGAATACAGTTTGTATATAGAGAATGTGTTGTACTGTTATGGAGAAAACTTTCCGTTATGGAGGAATAAAATCTTCTAGTATTAAAAACATATATTTTATTCCTCCATAGTTGTACCTGAAAGTAGTGAAACATACTGTCAGCAGAAGTACAGTATTTTTTATTTAGATGTTGGTTGTCAACAAGGTCATGAAAAAAAATAGGGGAAGAAAAACAAAAAAAAGGCTTTTAAAAAGTTGGGGTTTTTTTTAGCTTTTTCTTAACAAATAAAAAAAAATGTGAGTGAATTTATCTTTATTTTTTGCCAGATGTTCTACAAATTAGTCTAAAGTTATTGCCTGATGTAAGATATTGCCATTCTAGGCCTCTGTGGGTTTAATATTTATTTTATTTGGCCCAATCTCTTGACTTCTGTTTCTTGGTTACAGTAGATCCAGTTCTCCATAAATGGAAAGTAAGCAATTAAAATGTTGTTTCTTATACTGTACAACAACAGTAGAACAATAATAAGAACCAATTAATTGGGTATTAAAAGCAATTGGTTGCTTGTCGACCTTTATTTTTATTTTTTTTATTTTTATTTTTTTATTTATCTATTTGATTCTCCCCAAGCTGACGGTATCGGCAGTATATCACTTTCACTGTTGCATACACGCAATAGATTCGGATTCCTTTATCGCATATATAATATCTATAGATGTATTGAAATTGCGAATATACAGTAGTGCTATAAAAATGCATCTCGCAGTCTACTAGAATTATGAAATATTTATTGCTCTTCATTCGATTGTGAAATATTAGTTTTAAGATTTATTCATGACTGAGATAACTTCAAAGCACACATTGTTAACTTGGAAAGATATGCCCAGTTGTCATCAGTTACATTTTCTTTGGCAAATGGGAAAGGGTTACTGTACATTGAACTGCATCGCCTTGTGTGTTAACCATACTACTGTCCCCATCAGCAAAGCTCACCCTCAACATTCTATTATTACTGTATATATTTGGGTATTCATAACAAGTGAAAAGATTATGCAATGTGTGTAGGCCTGGCTACATTGGTTTTTTGTAAATATTTATATGAGGATTTACAGTACAACTGTAGTTTTACTTTATGTTTTAAGTTTATTTTAAATTAGAATGATTAATCCAGCAAAGCTGATAATCTGGTACTCTTCTTCTGCAGAAGACTGGGACACAGATAAAAAAGCTTGCCTCTGTTCCCCCTCCCACCCATGTTATTACAGTACTCCTAGATTCCCCCATTTAAATGCTCTTTGTAATGCAATTACATTCTTAGTTCTTAAAATTCTTGTAATCTTTGCTATTTATATTTATTTATAGCAGATACTGTACATAAACTACTCTACAAAGACAATGCTTTCAAAATCTGCTATATAGCAAGTATGCATATTTTAATAAACAAAAAAATCCACTATTTTCTAATAAATGTTATATTGCTGTGATAATTATTTAATGCATGTTAACCAAAACAATATACAAAACAAAGTAAATTTAATATAATCCTTGTATATAAAATATCTTATATATCTTAAACCTTATAATTTTGTTTATAACCTCCCTCTTTTTTCTTGGAATGCAGTGATAATATATAATATATGTGTGACATTACATATTACACAAAACGATGTGCGCTTGATACAATTTGATTTTCAACCAATCTGTAAATTGTTCCTCTGATGAAGAAGTCGGGAATGTGCAATAAAAACTATTGCTTTGTAAATTCATTCTGTTTGTGTGAACTGTATCTTCATTATTAAAGAACTTGAATTTTTCACAATTATCAAAATTGTTTCCAAGTGTACAAACAATAATTTTTCGGTACCCCTCCCTTCCCTCTCAAAGAGTACATAAAAAATGTCTATTATATCCATGGTTGGCCATAAAAATCAATTTTTTTATATATGCATATGTAAAAGTGTCTACCCCTTTGCTTACTGTTTGTACACTTGTGAAAATACTGGTAATTGTGAACGACGCTTTAACATAAAACAACATAAAATATATGGATCAATTTGGGATTTCTGCAGAGGCATCTGTTGTATAATTTGGTGCAAGCTAAATCACAACGATTTAGTGACAAGCTATAATATACAGTATCTGCACTACAAACCAGCAAATGAAAGTCTAATAATAATACAGGTATAGGGATTTATATTGTGCCTTTTGCCTAGGATTACAAGGTGCTAGTATAAAGTAGTTATAACCCCTGGTCTCTGAATCATACAGAAGTTTACCCAATTTCTAGGAATACTATAAGAACTACAGTGCAAATTAAATGAAAATAATACAGTATAACCAAGCAGGTAATTTAGCGTAATCAATGCCCCACAATGGGCAACAATTTTGCCATTAGCCAATTCGCTCAAATACACAAACATAATTTTTAATAATATACAAAGGCAGGCGTACGTTTAAAGTTGAGCTTTTTATTATCACTTATTTGCATGCAGTTTTTTCTCTAAAAAAAAAACTGAATTTAAAATTAAAATTTGTTATTGGGATTAAAATGTACTTGGTTTAAAAAATAGAGTACTGCACAGTACAGTATTTTTCTTCTAGAGCAAGTTGAGGAATGACTAATAAATTGCAGCTTCCCAATTCTAGAATTTAGTATTTCTGGACTGATTTTCTACTACATTCCTGATCCATCATTTGTATACTCCGGACTCTTTTGGGGAAGGACAAGGGAAGTATTCTTTTATTGAGCGAGTAACCAGTAAATTCAAATCATAGTATTCAATTGTACTGACACCTACATAATACATGGTATGCAGAAAGTCACTAACACAATTACAAAAAGGTGTGGAGGTGCTCCCCTTAAATTACAGTCAAATAGTTAAAAATCACCTTATTATTGCCCCCCCCCCCCC